TCTGATTGGGGTAATTTAAAGTATGTTGGAAAGATAAATCAAAGGCTTACAATTCTTTTAGAAATATCATTTTTCCAATTCGAACGTTCGCTATGCCAAAAATTAGTTTCAATTTGAGGCTGATATCTAAAGCATAACTTTTTCGGTTGAAAATTATTGTGTTAAGTGTACTTTTACTACATTTTACCCCTTTAACTTCTTTTATCATCCAACTGACCCCTATTACTCTCGAATCTTCATCGTGAAGCCCTACACAATTTTTGTATATTTGCACTTTAATCTCTAGATTTTGAATCTTTTACAATGAGCCATTCTCACACTTTTTCTCCAATTCCGCCATTTATGTCGATTTGTACTTAACAAACACGTTACACATAGAATTAAATCACAATTCATCAAAATAATCAATAAATACTCTAACTTAAAGGCCCAAATTAGTGTACAAAATATACTTCGAGGATATAAGACCAAACATTCGTTTTGGTGAATGGTGACACCAAATAGCATTCTTACCCTTCGAAAAAATGCTTACACCTCTGAATATATGCACCTAATTCCTACATGATTTATGAAATGACTATGAATAGTGACGTTCAATGAGTAGTAAAATAGGAAGATTATAAACATACCATAGCATATCATGATATAATCTTATCATTAAGATGATATGCACAACATTTCTTTAGGACTAATATCTTCTAAAACAGAGTAAAATCTCAATGAAATAGAGAACTATGGATACTAAAACGCCATCTAACAACTAGCTTGTTATTCCAATATCTTGCAGAATAAAATGAATTGTGTGTATCAGTATCCATCGTCATGTATTCCACATTAATTTTTAAAAACTTTCAAGTTCAAACCCACATTGATTGCTTATAAATTTCCTTATACTTTTGTTTGATAATTTGAGAGAGGGAATGTTCACGAAATACTTTCTTTCGATTTAATTCATCGCAAGTGTACGGTTCGTTAACAAGTAATAAAGTAAAATTTAGAGTTTCGAATATTGTCCCACAAAGATTGAGTAGCCTAATTTTATTTATCTTGACCTTAACCGAAACAAGAATGTCAAAAGTGATTTTTTTTTAGCTTAACTAAACCCTAACCTAAACTAGGTATGCAAATGTGTATGACTTGAATGAATCAAAATGCAAATTGATGCTTAGATGAACTAAAGATGCAAATTGAATGTTTGGAACACAAATTATTGAATTCAATGAATGTATAACGCACTAGGATTACGAATCCCCAAGCAATGCTCAATTTAACCCTAATTATATAATTTTGACAACACGTTGAAATTATGAGGAATCAATGCTCTTGGATCTATCCAACAGTCTCTCTCGAGCAAAGTTGAACCTATTCTCATATACCATCAGCCTATATCTCTATGATGGGTGCAAATATACAAAAATGCATGTAGTTTTGTGATCACTTAAAGATTCACGCAGAACATAGCGGTATATCTCTATCTTCTATCGGACTCTACGATGATTTATACCTTGTCGAACCTATTTCCCTTCTCTTAAATGTAAGAAATAAGTCACCAAAACTTACACAATTACGGGCCCTTAATTGCGGAAGAAATTAAATGCATATAAATCATTCAAAATAATCGAAAGTATTTTAATGTCAAAAATATGAAGCAAGGAGTTAAGAATCACATTACAAGGTTCATCGATCTCCTAGAACAAGAATTTCTAGCCTAGCATGGAAAACATAAAGGAATACATGAATTCTTGAAGATAAAACATCACCGGATTATAGATATGCGTGAAATCTTGATAATCTTCGTGAAATCCTTCGTTAATCTCCCTCAAATTCGTCTCCAAGATGTGTTTTGTTCTCCTCCAATGCGTTCTCTCCCGAAATATGACAGCTCTAGATTTTTATATCGCATCCCAATCGAGTTCCAAAAAAGTTATATCGAAAATAGAAAACTGTAGGATCGATCCCAGATTTTGGTCTATGCGACCGCATAGTACAAAGCTATGCGACCTCATAGTTATGCCAAAATGCCCACTTGAAGTCTCTGAAAGGTTTACCGAAATCACCTCCGCTTTCCCACTTCTTTCTATTCAAAAGGCGAGCAGCCCCCTCTTGCGCCCCCCTGTTTACCCCATATCCTCGCCCAACTTTCTCGATGAGCGAAGGTGATCAATCATCAATGCTTGGTATCGACCAGATGCCCAAGTGGAATGAAGGATGGAAGAGCCAAAACCTTCAAAAAGCTGAGGCCCAAGTCCAATCCGAAGACCTTCTCTTTTGTCGTCCTCCCCTTTCGAATGGAATGATTCAGTGTGGATCTACCGTCCCATAGATGAAAGAAGGGATGCGATCGCATAGATTTTTAACTATGCGACCGCATAGTTCAAACATTTTTTCCGTCGAATAGCTTTTAGTATTTTGATCATAACTTTCTCTTCTCATCTCCGATTGAAGTGATTCGAAGTGAGTCAGGAAGCTAACTCAAAGATATACAATTTTTATAGAAATAGGAATTCTCAAATTCTGATTTTTACTATGCCAAAAATGGGTCTCAAGTAGATACAAAAAATTCCAAGCATTGCTTTTTCGCCAGAAAGTTGATACTTGATAATACTTAGACCATATTTCACATCTTTGACTCCTTTTCTCATCCGAATGATCTCTAAGACTCTTGAATCTTCATTCCATCGCCTGTCTCATCTATGAATTATTTGCAAATTGGTCCCCGAACTTTCAGTTTCTTTAACTTTAGTCCGTTTTCAATTGTTTCTTTTATTTCCATCATCCTATAATATCACCAAATTGGTACTTAGCTCATTCACTTCCTTGATTTTTCCGTCGGACCATCTTTTGGATAATTGTACTTTGGTCCCTGAACTTTTATTTTCTTTCATTTTGCCCTTTTTGAATCTTTTCTCATGAATTCCATTATATCCATCAATATGGCCCTATAACATGAAATTGCATAGAATTAAGTCATTATCGACCAATTTTATCAATAATTAGTCATGTTCTGTGGACTAAATAAGTGTGTAAAAACACACTTATCAGGGAACTCGAGGGAAGTGTATATTGTTCTGTATGTATCTATCGTAAGGAGAGTGGAGAGCAAAATTGTAAGGTCCCAAAAAATATTTGTTTTGATTGGTTTGATCCATTTAAGATACGAGTGTTGGAATAGAATTAAGTCATTATCGACCAATTTTATCAATAATTAGTCATGTTCTGTGGACTAAATAAGTGTGTAAAAACACACTTATCAGGGAACTCGAGGGAAGTGTATATTGTTCTGTATGTATCTATCATAAGGAGAGTGGAGAGCAAAATTGTAAGGTCCCAAAAAATATTTGTTTTGATTGGTTTGATCCATTTAAGATACGAGTGTTGGAGGCTCAACCCACATAATTATGGAAAGAAAAGTTCAAATACATAGGTTGGCCAAATGCCCAAACATATAAGTCTTTTAAGTTCAAATGAATTTTAATCCAAAGAATTATTGAATACCTGGGTTGTAGCACAATGGTTATCTACTTGGTTCTCGAAGATTACAACATAGTTCAAGTTACCTTGGAGATATTTTCACATAAAAAATTATTTTTGGAGTAAAAAACTCTTTAGATCTCGAATTTAAGTATCAATTTAACAAGGTTTATTATCATAACTCTTCCATTTAATTTTTTTGAGTAAAAAATGAGGTTACAAGAAGAGGAATAACACTTTTTTTTTCTTTTTTTTACCACGCCTCTCTTCAAATCGGTAAATGTTAAAGTTTTATGGCAATAACTGATTTTTACAACCTAAGGAAATACTTCGGAATCAAAGATTTCACCAATAATCGGATTACATGAAACTATCTTTGGTATAAATTTTTTTATATTTTACATGTGAATATGCATAGTTTTTTCAAAGGGATCGTGAATATATGGAAAATTTTCAGATTGAGAAAGGATCGTGAATATATGGAGATTGCATGGATTATGAAGAAACTGAGGAATGGAAATCAAATCAAAGTACAAGGTTCTCATGTGTAGGATTTACTTTTATATTATTTTAAAATTAAGACTAAGGTAACGGATTAACAATATTATTTGAACTTGTACTTCACTTGGACATGAAATTAGACTTTTATGAATTGATATTTGTTAAATCACATTGGTATAAGTTGTGGCATGAAAATATGATTTTTTGGATTTGGACATATAAAAACATAAAGTAGAAATTTCAGCTTTATGTCCAATTATCAGACCATCACCTCAAACTGAATTCAATGAGTCCACTAGGGTTTGAAATCCCTATAAATAACCAAGTCATTTCAAGATCGATAGGATAAGTTATGCCTTTTATCGTGTGATATGTTCAATATACTCGAGAACAACTTTTGGCGTGTAATTGAGTGTTCGATTGTGTTGCTTAATAATTTTAGAAAATTATGAAATTTTAATATGTTTTACTTGAATGAGTTTAGAAAAGGTTCAAAATTTTCATAGAATTACAAACTCGAAAAATAGTCCAACTAAACTTGTTCATTAGGTAGAGCATTGTATAGTAGAACTTTGTTAACGTATGCTAGCCTCCATTAATTTTGTTTCTTCAACGAACCAAACTTAACTAACTTCACTCATTTGTTTTCGTTCGTTGTTCGAGTTTGTAACAGAACATATGTGTAATCTACTAAATAAAAAGCAAATAGAAAAAAATTAAATTTTCCCCGAATTTTGATAACCTAAGTGTCACGTTTTTATAACAAATCCAATTCTTAATATTTCATTTTTTTTATCATCAAAAGTTCGATATTTTTAACGGTCAATTGGTGTAGACTATTTAAAAGGATCGATTCTTATTAATTGAAAGGTTAAGAATGTTTGTAATAATATTTGAAGGTTAGGGACCATTTACATAGTAATTCCATAGATTGAGGACCAGTTGCGCAGAAACCCATAGGTTGAGGTCCAGTTGTGCTAATTTTCCTCGTTTTAAAGCACCAGCCTAGATCTCAATTCATATTTCATACACGCACGACAGCAGCAGCAGCGGTTAGTGAGAGAAAGAAGAACGAAAAAAGAAGAGTGAGAGAGCAATGGCATCAAACGCAGCGGTGCCGTTTTGGCGGGCAGCGGGGATGACCTACATAACGTACTCAAACCTGTGTGCGAACCTTGTGAGGCAGTGTCTCAAGGAGCCATACCGATCCGAAGCCTTGACCCGGGAGAAGGTCCATTTTTCCGTCTCCCAATGGGTTGAAGGCAAACCCCAGAAACCCAGTAATTTTTCTATTACTCTTTGTCCTTCTCCCTCAATACTCTGTTATCTCGTTTAATTAGAATTGGAAATGAAGTTTTTTAATTATTCTGATCTAGGGTTTATTTGATTTTCTGATTATTGTTTGAATTTCACATTTTGAATAATTTTTTCTTTGAGTGGTTTTGAAGTGATATTTGAGGTTGATTGATTCAGTTATTTTGTGATTTCTGTTTATTATTTTTGACAAATGTAGAATTGGGATTGGTTTAGAACTGTTAAGATAAACCGCACATTTATTAAATGCGGCAATATTAACCAACAAATAAGGTTTTGGCTACTCCTTAAACAAGGTTGCCCATGGAACCTCAGCTTTCCATTAAGCATAAAAACGGAATTTGATCTGATTAAGACTCAAACACTCACGTGGATTTCAAAATTGGTATGTTGAAATGAACCGAAATGAACCACTGTCTTGTGGGCACGTTAAGGGATAAATTCCATATTGGTTAAATATCGAAATGTTAAATGCCAACATATTAAGATTTGGACTATCCCTCCCAACAAGGTTGACAGTTTGAGATGGATTTCTGAGTCTTGATAAGAAATAAAGGTGGAAATCTTTGATTTGATGGGAGTTTTGACTTAGTGTTATTTTCGGTCTCCCTGAAATTGGAAAAATTTTCAGATAAATTTGAAATTTATTTTCTGTAGTGTTCAATATTGAAGTTCTAATTGCGTGCTGTCAAACATAGTAATAGTATGCTTTTTGGTGAGAAATAATGAAAGAGGAGATAGATGATTGATATGGGCTTTGCCTTGTTTATACTTTTCTCATGAGAATAAATCATCTGATCATGGCCAGTGATGATAGACTGGTCATGGGTTTACTCTGGTTTATGTATTGACATGCTTGTGCTGCCCTTTGATTTTGATGTTCTGGTTATTGTTCAATAAAAAACTACACATGATTTTTGTTTTAGTTTTTGTTCATCTTTATTTTGTTGTTGGCATGACATTAAGCTTGTTTTCTGAAATTATCACTGTCTGATTCAACTTTGTCTCTGGCTTTTGTCTCAGCCATCCGCTCGGATACTCCTGAATGATATTAGTCATTGGCCATTGACTGTTCTATAAAGTTTATTCCAGCTGAAGAACAATTTCCATTTTTTGTTTTTGTCTGGCTTCACAATTTGGGCATAGACAATGATGTCAGATCGTGCATCAAATTCTATTGGCAATAATGCAACTGCTATGGTTTGGATTTCTATTGAAATTTGTTGGATCTTAGTGGATGCTAATTTTCATTAAAATGGTTTTTCAGAGTTCTACTTGACTTCCATAAATTGCAGCTGTCACTCTTTCGTCTAAATTTCTGTTGGCCTAACTATGTGATTTAAGTTCCCCCTTTATTCTTCTTATGCTACTATCTGCATCCAAGCCCAACTCTTGAGCTAAGTATTAAACTTTTCGTCTACACCGTTTTAGCAAAGTTTATATTGTTCATTCTCTCGGACTATCATAAATCTGGAACGAGCATTCGAACAGGATATGAATTGCCCTTTGTTTACTTTGGCCTTTCTTTACCCGAGAGATTATTTTCTGCTGTTGATGTGTTATAATTTGCCTGTTTTGTTTGCTGGGGTACAAAATTAGAACATTTTGAGAAGTCTGGCATAAGAAACTAAAATTAGGATTATTGTGGACTGTGAATCTAATCTTAGCCCTTGTTTGTTTCCCATTATTTACATATTAAAATGAAAAATATGACTGTTATCCATCACATCAAGTCATCATATTTGACTTTCTATCACAATATTTGACTTTCTATTTTTTATGTGGGGTCCGTAACGGCTATATTTTTTATTATCATTCTTACATTAATGTGATTCAAATGGAGCCTTAATTTTCATTGCATTCTAAAATTTTATGTTAATAATTCAATAAAATCTGCTTGCATTCCTGTTGGTCTGTCTAAAATTTTGGGGAATTGAATGTTATTGCATTGGAATTTGTTAGACGTACACCGAGCTTGACGTACAGCTCCTTGGGACTTGGTGTACGAGTAGCAAGACCTGCATTGCATTTGCAATTTCTATAGCATTGGTGTAAGCATGTTTTATTTGTATGATAGAAGGCAACGAAGTCGTCCATTGTGGCCCTTGTTTGGTTCCCATTAAAATTTTAATACATTTTTCTCTTTCTTTTTTTCAATTACATATTTTTCAATAAAATAATATTACACGTAAATCAAAAAATTTTCTTTTTTTTTAACCATACATTCTCCTAAAAACTACCATTTCAAAATACATTTTATTCAATTTTTTTCATTATAATGGTTGTCAAATGGGGCGTAGAAAATTGGTTTCATGCAAATTAAGGTATTATTGAAGCTTAAATAGTCTTGAAGCTTTCAGTTTTTGTTGAACAACTAGTCTATGCTACATGCGATGCACAAGTTGTGCATGAATTATGATTTGGTTAGCGTATGTATTGAATATGTTTGAAAATATATGGGAAGATGGAATTATTGGCAAGGAATTAAATAGTTATACGAGTCAATCACCCGTCTTTCTTCCACAAAATGTCATTTTTCTACCAAAAGTTACAGAATCAATAAAATTCATTAATAATGAGAATTCAAGCCATGGTTAGTTAAAGAAATACTCCACTAGACAGTAAAAGCATTCTAAGCAAAAAAAAGCTAGCGCCATAGCAGTACATCATTTAACAAATTATAGTAGGTATAAATATATTATTGTACAGTAAAGAAATAATTCAAGGTAAAACAAAAGTTAGAACTTAAAAGTCGAAAAAGTCTAAAATAGTATGTATTCCAAGATCCTGTGGCCCAGGGGTGAGTTCCTCTCTCTTTCTTTTTTTGAGCCTCCATAATTATAGAGGCTCAAGCAGCATTGGCTCTCAATACAACAATTTAATTTCATTTAATCAACTTAGTTTTTTTAATAGACGTGATTCTTAAAATAAATACATAGAATATAGATCTTTTTTTTTTTATATATATACAGAGATTATATAAATCCTTCAAATGAGTAGAAATGTAAATAAATGATAGACATATTAATCACATTTTCAATTGTAACCTTTTGAGTGCAACCAAATAATGTGTGAAACGTGTTAGATCAAATAATCATTCACGTCGATAGTTCAATAATTTTTTTCTTCTCACTTTTATTTCTGGGAAGAGTAAGATCATGCTTTTTCGGTAACATATTGTTCATTTCTACAATCCGTGTTAATCTATTCTGTTATTTCTACACCCAATTTTATTTACTCTCTTATAACCCAAAATATAAAATCAACTAACTGAAGAACATAAACACAAAAGTCTACAACAGATTGGAAGCCCTACAGAAATTAACTTGAAAAAATAATACAAACTATAAGTGGGGAAAAAGAGAAACTAACTTGTTAAAAAAAAAAGTAGCCCGAAAACACCGAAATCTCAGCATTGGATACCAAGCAAACAGCTGAAAAATAAGTATAAAACAAATTAGTCCATATGTAAAAAAAAAAAAATAGAATAAAAATAGAAATAGTAAACATACATGGAAAAAAGAAAGAACCTAATGAAACTCAGAGAGAAGTTAGGGCTAATTTGCATGGTAAAATGGAGAGAATAGGCAAGAGCGTGTGAAAATGGAGAAGAAGAAATAAAGATCCACCTAAATTGAGGACAAGTGGATGCATCATTGTAGTCTCCACGTTTTTTTTTTTTTTTTTGCAGACCGTGTCGTTTTTGCTCAAGAGATGAAAAAAAATAATACATTGTGTGAAATGGAAGAATCAACTGTTCTTTCTACAGTAACTAACATTGCCCTTTTTATATAGTAGTGATATTATTTTGTGTAAGGACACAACAATTTAGATGACATTACAAGATTAAAATAATACTATCTATCACCAATTTAAATGATCGTAGATATCCAATTAAACTTCTTAAATAAAATAACAATACATCTTAGTTTTATTGTACAAGTTTAAATCGATTCTACTCTTATCTAGGCAAGTGATAAATATCACTATTCACAAGTTCAACTACAATTAATTAAAAGAATATATGACTCATTTAATTAGACTCATCTATTCATACAACACAATGGGATGAACCGTTATTTAGCGCAACATATGCTAAATAACAATTTTATTTTTTTACAAGATTTTTTTTTTTATTAATGAGCAATTCACGTGTATTATGTTATGGAATAATGTTATTTAACACCAATGGTGTTAGAATATTCATCTATGTTATATTATGTGATAAGTTCAATCAAATGTAAAATTAAGTGATGCATTTAATCGTATTTTTCATTTAATAACCTTTAAGATCATTTAGATTGGTGATGTAACGTTGATGGTGTTATTTTCCTTCAATATTGTAATCATGTCTAATAAATTGACGTTCAAGTTCAAAATTAGTATCGAATGCATTATATAGGTTTCTATCTTGGTGTTTTTGATTTTCTTAAAAGTAAAAATAAAATCATATCTAAATCTTGATATTAAAATAAATATTAATTTTGTTAAATCGTTTCGTCTATCGGAGTTTTCGAATCTAAATGGAATGCTAGACATTTTAACTTTTTCTCAGCTTGATGGCGTCCATATCAATTTGCATGGAGGGGATTTGAATTAAGTATCGTCGGTTGTTACTTACGTAGCAAAAATATTTAAGCCATCTACAATTTCATTAGAGTTGCTCTTAATGTTTGACTATTAATACTAGTCGCTATCACGTGCGTTGCACAAATTTTGTATTTATCATATTTTTATTAGTGTATGAATTTTAAATTTTTTTGGAAAGTTTTTGAAACAATATCTAAAAATATTTCCATGATATAAAAAAATAATTGCAAATTATTTTTACAATTGCATAGTAATATGTTATCTAAAAAAATATGCTTGTATATTTCATACTTGAATAAGAAATATATGAACTATTTTGCTTGTATTCTTTGATAGTGTTGATATGATTGAATTGAATGTGAAAATTATATTTCTAAATTTTGTGTAATTCAATATTGTAAAATTGAAAGAAAAAAAACTCTCCACACACTGTGGAGAAAGTTGAACCAAGTGCGGAGTAAAAATAAAAAATAAAATAAGGTGCGAAGAGAAAAAACATCTCCGTACAATGCGGAGAGATGACAAACCAACTCTCTGCACAGTACGGAGAGCAAAAAAAACTCTCAGTATTGTGTGAAGAGAGTTAATCTCTTCGCACAGTGTGGAAAGTTGGTCCGCACAGTGCGGAGAGTTGTTTTCAAATTCCTTAATTACAAGTCAAATTTCAAGATTGTAAATTTTTCGTATATACAACGAAACAGAGTTGAAAACATGGCTCAAAATCAATTATATCTTCTTTAAATTCCAATCACAGCTCAATTTCTGAGCATGCAAATTATATTTACGGTTTTGGAAAGAAGCTTTCTCGTGATTCATATAATGAATCAATATATGAGTTGTGCAAAGAAGGGGATATTGATAGTACTATGTCATTGCTTTCACAAATGGAGGCTCTAGAGTACCACTCAAATTCAATATTTTACACTTACTTGATAACAGGTCCTGGACATTAGAAGCGGATACAATTTTTAATAAAATTATACTTTCAAGTTGTAGGTCAGGAATTAAAGTGTTCAATGCATTGCTAAGAAGTTGTTTGAGAAAATGCCTCTTAGAACTTGCAGATAAAGTCTCAAGAGTTTTTGTTTTTCTCTTCACACTGTGCGGAGATATAGTTTGTCATCTCTCCGCATTTTACGGAGTTTTTTTTTTTTTGCTCATGTGTAGACATTTATTTTTTGTCTCATGGAGTTATATATACTAAAATTATTATTATTGTTTTAATGTTGTTGGCATGATACATGTGTGAAAGAATATTTGTCAATAAACATAAACAAAATTCTTCACAAAATGCAAAAAATAAAAATATATAATAAATCTTCTTATTATGCTAATAAAATTACAATAAATTTTTTTTTTTTTTTACAAATAACATAAAAAAAATTATTTTTATTTTCAACAAAAAACCAATTAAAAAATTAGCAATTTCATATTTACTTTTTTTTTTAATTCTCCAAAATACAATTATAAAAATGGAAATAATATTGAATTACAACATTTAATACTTAAGAAATTCAATATCAAATAAATTTTATACATTTATAACAAATTATAAATCCATATATACAGCTTACCGTATTTGCAGACACCTTATTATATATATAGTTTACCGTATATGCTGTCTACCGTATTTGCATTTTACCCTATATTCTGCCTACCGTATTTACAGTCTACCGTATTTGCAAATAACTTACC